TCTGGGCAGTTTTTAATAATTCAAAATGTCGGATACTATATAGAGAACCTCGAGATACAAAATTTTAAGAAAATCTATTTATTTCTTTAAAGTTCGATTGCCATTAGAATTTGACATTTAAATTAAAAATTAAAAATAGCGAATATAAAATGTCGGAAATAATTTTTAAAATTTTATCTTTATGTAAAAATTTTGTACATCCCGTCCTTAAAGGGTTAAGGTATTTACCCCACGGAAATTATCTAATTAAAGTTTTTATTAGTTATAAATAAATTTATTTTACTGTTTAGCAATAGAGAATAGGGCGTAATTAATTAAGTGGGCATTAGAGATTATAAATTCCTATATTTACATTGTAAAATAATCACATTAAATGAACATAATACACCAAATTTAAGCTTACAACGCCAACGTCATATATTATTAAAGTGAGGTACTCATGCCCTGCACCCCTTCCCTATAATTTATTTATTAATTAAATTAATTACAAATTATTAGTTAATTAAAATGATTTACTAATTATTTTTAATTATGTGGATGATAATTTTTAATTTGTTCACATTAATTATATCAAATTAATTATTTTAAAATATTGATTTTTTATGTTATTGACATCAGTATAGTTACTGAAAGAATATACTTTACGGGAATTTATTATTAAACTGTTAAAATCGATATTGTAAACTTTCCATAATTATATAATATTGATAATTTAATTTTGAATGAAAAATCGCAATTTCATTTGATATTAAATTAACAACGTTGCATTTTATTTTTAATATCTTACAAATTTCTGTGTACTATAATAACTGCTTAATGAATATATAAATGACTGAATTATGTAATTAATTATAAATTGATTTTCTTTTGCAAAATTAGTTTCTGTTATAATTTTAAATGCAAGGTTAAATTTTAAATTGTGTATAACATAATAATAGATTTACAAATAAAAAGCCAGAAATATAATAATAATGATCTTCGATTTGAAAAAGAAACAATAATTTTATAGAGCCCGTTTTCACCGTGAGGGTAAATTTAATTTCTGAGCGGTTAAAGGCAGTAGATATATTCTGCGTTTGCGCAGAAACTGTATACAAACATTCTGCGCATACGCATCTACTGCCCTTAACCTCTCAGAAGATTAAATTTATTCACACGGTGAAAATGGGCTCTTAATTTAAAACATAAAAAAGTATAAAAAAAGTAATAAAATAAATGTAAAAATTAAAATAAAATTTGATTTATCTTTTGGTCACTCTTCACTTAATAAACATGAGGTATGAAACTATAAAATTTAATAGTTTTTAATTGTTATTTTAACATTCACGAAAATTTGTCAGTAGGTAAATAAACTTGCTTAATGTCTATCATTACAGATATATATATATATATATATATATATATATATATATATATGTATAATTTGTGGGTAATGAAAATCTAACAAAATTTAATTTCACCAACAAGCAACATTGTTTTTCAATTATGAAAATAGAGAGAAATTAATGTTAAACTACATATAACGTAGTTTACAGGTTCTATTAGATATATATATAATCTAGCAATAGCTTAGTGGGAATTAAATGTGTAATATAGAGGGACCTTTCATTTCACTTCACACAAGCACGAATTACATTATTGTGCATTTAAATCTAACAGTGAAATACGGTAATGATAATAACAACCAGGATAAAGTAGATTCAAATTTCAAAATTACGTTTTGAATTACAATTACAAATTCCTCCTCGTAAACTGGCTAATATCGGTTAACATTATTTCAAATTTATCTTGTGTACGATAAATTTTCAAATCAATAAGCCAAAATTTCATGTAGAAAATTTGAGAATAGAAAAGAAAAGAAGAATTATTTAATTGTTATTAACATATATTTTCTAAGAAAGTTTTTATTTGAACCAAATATGTTTTTGAATTAAATAAAAAAATATATATTTCTCAAAGATTAAATAAATATCTCTTTATTTCAAATACACTTTATTTGGCACAAATAAAATTTTTATTTACATATAACAATTAAATATTTTTTCAACTCTAAGAAAAAAATATTTATCAATATATTATTTATCAGTTAAAATTTTTAATTATAATTTATAAGTTAAAAATTTCCATATCTACATAAAAATATAGAGTGTGTGGATAAAATAAAATAAAACTTAAATTTTACCAAGTTTTTAAAAGTGAATTCATAATAAAACTTTTGAATTGAAAAATGTACTGGAATCAGATATCAATATGAAGAAGTTTTTTTTTCTCCCTCGTTCGGCGCTATTAGTCCATGCATAATGTAAATTAGGCGTGCTATATATATATACTCTTCATATACACTTGACGCGAATAAATATCGTTATCTCTAACTGAGCGAGTAACTCGATTGTCGTTTCAAAAAAAGGGGACTGCACAACCAGCACTATAAAGTAAGTATACAATCTTGGGGCAAAAAACAGAGATTTCTTTTGTGGTTCGAAAAAATTAATAATCTCAGTTTCTGTTTTGATTTATTTCTTCGCACTGAATCAAAAATGTAAAGCACATCATAAACTTTCAGTGTGATGTAATATATATATATATACTTTAGTCATGAAAATAGTGTGCTCTCTAAATTATAAAATTAGTGGGAATTTCTTCACTAATTCAAAATAGTAGAAATTTTTACTAATTTTCAGTAAAATTATATTTGATTTAGTATTTTTTGTTTTTATTAAACTTTTAGTGAAAAATGACTAAAAATGAGTAGAAATTTTCAGTAATTTAAATTAGTGAACGAATTCTTATTTCAAATTTAGCGAGTGTTTAATGAAATTCTTAAAATTGTCATTATACTCTCTAAATCTGAATTAGTAAACAAGTTTACTAATTTAAATTAGTGACTCACTTTTTGCTTCTCAATTAGTAAAATTTTACTAATTATTAGTAACTTTTACTAACAATTAGTAAAACTCAACTAATTCTAAAGCAAAAAGTGAGTCACTAATTTAAATTATTAAACATTTTTACTAATTCAGATTAAGAGAATAGAGAAATATTTTTTTGGCGTTTGAGACATAGAAAATTTATTTGAAACAAATAAAAATATATTTCTCTCAGAGCCCAATAATTTTTTATATGTTGTAAATAAAAAAAATTTATTTATTACAAATAAAATTTTTATTTAACTCTCAATCTTAAATAAAATTTATTTGAAACAAATAAATATTTATTTGGCTTTATTTATTTTCTATGTGTGTACTAATCAGAAGATGAAAAATTCCTGTCTTCCTGAAACTGTTTTTTACTACTAATATCACAGTTACAACTAAATAGAAACGTCTGACTAAAATCGACCTGTACTACTCATACTCAATTCTCAAGAATTTTTTAAAGTCTGACTAAATTTTACTTTTATTACTGATTTTAAAAGAAGAATATTTAACTACCGTTTTACTAAAATTTACTATTTCGTACTGATACAAAAATAATGAATTAATAAAATAATAATACAAACAAATAATAAAATTCGGCTTAAAAAATTCTATAAAATGAAAATTCCAACCATAATGATTTTCAGAACTTGTTTATTCGTTCCAATATTTTTCATTTTACCACGAAAAATCCCCTATAAACAAAATTAATTTTTTTTAAAATTATTATTGAAACAAATTTTTATGTAAAAAATATTGAAAATCATGGTGTCAATGTTTACTAAGTGCAAAAAAAAAATATATATATTTTTTTTGATAATAGGTGATTGATCATATTAATCGTTGTTTGTATTCATCGCTAAGGGGATTAAGAAACCTATTTAGAATGTAATGGGGGGGAAATTAGGGTTGAATGTCCTAAAATGATGACACAAAAATAGCAGAAATCACCCCACCTAATGTCCGATTGTCGATTGTACTTATACAGTTGTGCCTATATTATAGTCAAGAGAAGGAACTTTTCCCCTTCTATTTTCTCTTTCTCTCTCTCTCTCTCTCTCGGCAAAACGGTCAAAACTTCCCTCATACTCGAGGAATTCCTTGGTGGACTTAAATTTCCCCTCTCGGGGTGAATGCTCTCTTTCTCTCTCTTTCTCCCACCATGTGTCACAATTCAAAGTGAGAGGGGATCGAGGGATTCTGTCGTCATGGATACGGGACACTAGTGGGGATGAACTGTTGGAAGGCCGACGGTGGCATTGATCGCTGCGCCCATGGACCACGACTGTGTATTGCCACGGTTATAGAAGGGGTGAATACAAATCCCCCTACCCCCTTCTCACTCACTCACCGTCGATGTATACACCGCACGCATTATGGACTTGGTATTTATACGAAAGCATGCGTCCAAGTGTGGACTTACGTGCTTATGCGCTCTTATGCAGGCGTGAATGATTCCCGACACGCCAGAGGATCCCCGATATCAGTCGCGATGCAGCCACGATGCGTCTCATCTTTTCAAAATATACAAATACATACACTCCGATAGAAATCAAATCAAATATTTTGTTGGACCGATAAAATTATTCTGCTTAGTGTTTTCAATAAAAAAAAAAAACATTTTCTTAGAACAAGTTATAAACTAATTGAAAATACTTTTGTTCATTGAAACAAAATTTGTTTGGTGTTTACTGAAAAATTTTGTGAGAATATCTTGGTTTGATTCGTAAAAACCTTGTGAGAATAATAAGTTTAAAAAAATTCTCACAAGAATATGTATCAGCGCACCCATGTAGTACGTAAGCTTCCAGCAACCTTGCACGGCAAACTTGCCGCAAGCTTCAAATGTCCCACCTGAATGAAAGCTTGCATGGTAAGTTTACTGAAAGATTGCAGGGTAAGCTTGCTGCAAGATTGCACAATAATATTATCACAAGATTGCTCAGTAAGCTCGCACGGTAAACTTGTAGCAAGGTTGGTGCAAGGTTGCCCAATAACCTTGCTTTAAACCTGAAATTTTTTTTAAAAAAATGTTTCGTCTAATTTATATAATAAAATGATATAAATTAGACGAAACATTAAAAACAAATTTTTTAGATTCAAAGCAAGGTTATTTGGCAACCATGAACCAAGCTTACTGAGCAATCTTGCGATAATCTTATTGTGCAATCTTGCAGTAACCTTACACTGCAATCTTTCGATATGCTTACCATGCAAGCTTTCAGTCAGGAGGGACATTTGAAGCTAGCGGCAAGTTTGCCGTGCAAAGTTAGCAATATTGCGCGGCAACCTTACGTATTATCTGGGCAGTGGTGAGAGCTTTCGACTTGTAATAAAACAACTGGAGTTTGTTAACAAACAATTTTTTTTGTTCTAATATTTTTAGAAACTTATTTTGATCTCAGTAGAAGTAAAATAAAATTTAATTTCTTAATTTTAAGTGATTTGTTTAATAAATTCTGACCCATAATATCATATTATATAATATATGTATATTAAACTGCGTGGACAAATTTACATTTTTCTATTTCCATATAATCTCGACTCGTACCCTTCCCCTCACTCTTTTTCCTCTTTCTCAAACACTCTCCATCAAGCAAACGGCAGTGCGATTTCAAATCACAAAATCGAACGCAATTTCGACTTTTGCTGATATGCTTGACACATTAATATTCCATATGAATTCGGGTCTTTGACCCGGTGTGCCGCTCTAAATTTCAAATGGGGAGAGAAAAAAAAATCCAAGATTTATTGAAAGCTATAAGATGTATGCATTTCTACACTATACATCTTTATCCCCCACTCTTATTTACCTTCATTCTATACTTTTCACCTTTTTTTACACAGGAAATTGATAGAAAATGTGAATGATTTTTTAAAAATATTCACCGAAATCTTTTTGTCGATTGTTTGTTCGGTCATTTGCAATTTCGGATAAATTAACATTGTATCAATTAGAAATTCTGTTAAATGATTTTTCGGTTAAACATATTTAAATTCTGTATAGTATGAAAAATCGGTTATATGAAAATTCTATCAAATAATAATTCGAACAAAAATGAAATTCGGCTCAATGAAAATTATATATCTAATGACAATAGCTCTCTTTTTCTTTGAAAGAATATAAAAAGTGAAATAATAATTATTATTTAACAACAATTTTTTGCGTAAAATAATTTATTTTGAAAATCATACTATGATAAATGTTCTGTTATCAATGTATGTTTTTCCATTAAAATTAATATTTTTTATTGATGAGAATGCATTATAAAAATTCAAATTAACGGGTACCTATAGGGGAGAGGGCCCCAAGATGGATATTTGATATAAAATTTTCGTATAAGTACACGGAGAGAAAAACCATGCGTTTTTAGTATGAAGAGGCATACGTTTAATGTATGAAACTTTCTCATGCGAATACTGTATGACATTCATAGTTTCGCAGTAAGAAGTCCATACGCCAAACGTATGTAATACAAACATACTACGATTGTATGAGCTTCATAGTCTCTCGGTATGATACTCATAGAAGACTATTAAGCCACGCCCACTTTCAGTTTGCATATTTCTGAATCACCTGCCCGCTTTCAATTCTTTGCTCAGTTTTGATTTATTTAAATAATTTTTTATTATATTTCAAAGATGAAGTTAAGATGAATATGTTATATATTGTTATTAATATTTATAAAATTATAAAAAATTATTAATAAATGTAAAAGAATTATTTGATAAATAGATTCTTAAATTTATATTTGATATAATTTGTTTAATGTCAAAGAACAAAATAAATATTGAAGAAATGTTATTTAATTAAACAAAATTTTATTTAAATAAATAAACTTTTTTTTAATTTTTTAACCCGGCAAGCGTCAGATTAGTTGTAACCCACCCAGTCAAACTTTAGTTTTTCCGTAATTTTATATTTTTTTTTTTTTTTTAATTTAAAAAATAATTTATAATTTTTTAATAATTTTTAATTTAAAAATTTTTTTTTTATTATTTCTGTGTCTTAATCTTTTAATAATAATCTTAATCATTTAATAATTCTCTAATTTTGTTTAGAAGTAATTAAAAAAATCGGCATACTTTCGATATGCAAAAACATTATTTTAATAAATTTTAGTCTTTTAGTGCGAAGCATTGAAAAAATTCCCATGATTTATATTTTTAATGAATGAATAATTGAAAATAATGAATGAAATGAAGAGAATAATAAAAAAATGAAAAATACAAAGTGTTAATTTTCAAAGCAAGGAAAAAATTTGTATAATTTATTTTTTCTCAGTGGCAAATTGTTAATATTAATTCTTCTAAAACCATTGAAAAAACAGAAGCATAATCATGACTAACTTCAAGTCAGGAAAATTTCTGCAAATTTCTACAAAAATTAAAATTCTTTGTGAATTTAAAAATTTTTTAATCTAAAAAAACTTGAATGGTGTTTATTACCATTTGTTACTACCATTATATATTAATTTATTGTAAAATATGTCAATAACCATATTTTTGTCCAAAAGAAAGCAAAAATAAGATTATTAAAATGTCCGGGAAAAAATAAAAAAAAGTCAGGGAATTTTTTTCTCAATCCTTATTTGACACCCTGTTACGGTTTTGGTACTGTGCGTGTGTCAGTTGACATTTATATTTCAAATCTAGTCGCTATAAATTCATCTTCAAGTTTTTCGACGAATAAAGAAGGGGTTATTCTAGGTATTAAATCGACATTTATTAACAATGTCGGGGAGTTCATAATAGACTGGACGCAATACGCATAAAAATGGTGATTGAAGTAGAGTGTTTCGAATTCTTCAATTTCGATATACACATTTTTGCAGTGGAAAATATTTTTCACTTTTCCAAAAGTAGGACCATCTTCCGAAATTCTACTAACTTTCACTGTTCCCTTAGAAATTTTTTTGCCGATTATTTCAATTTCTTTCAAAGTATATGTTGGTACTCCATCGGGTAAGGTCGGATTAAATTTTTTAAATCAGTGTGTGCATTTGTATTATCAATTGTTCCAAGTATAATGTCCTTTTCTACATGTGGACATAATTCCGTTTTATAACATAAATTAATAATTATTATTATTAGAACAATAATTTATAATAATAAATTATGCGGGGATCAGGAACAAATTCACAAGATACTCTCTCGATAGGAAATGAGCAAGCTGAAAGAAGGCGTGGCTTAATCGTCAGTTGTATAGCTATCATACCGAGAGAGTATGAAGCTTATACAACTGGACTATGTACGGCATACAGTTAAACTATGCAATACTCTCATACTAGAAACGCATGAATTCTTACATTAAGCGTAGGAACGCATGCTTTTTCTCTCCGTGTATATATCGCCTCGTGATTTATTTTACTGATTTAGTTTGTTCAGATGAAGCTTTTTATATAAACACGGATCGGAAAGAATTATTTTTCTTCCTGTAATACATATCACGTGGATTTTTTGTTTTAAAAAGTTTTGTAACAGTTTTTATTTCAGTCGGTAAAATTATCTATATTTTTGATTTCGAATAGGTAACGTAATAACCTCATTTATTTATCGTATAATAGTATTCTAAAATGATTCGGTTGACACTGTGTTTGCAAATAATTTTTACTTGCGCCAAAAAAATTGGGTCATTGGTCCTAAGATGGGCAGTCTGGTGGCCCTAAGATGGACATCATACCTTAATTTTATTTATTTTCAATGTTACAGTTTCTTATTAATGCTCTAAGCCACATAATTGAAATTTTTTCTTTTTTTACTTCGAAATTGTGTTGTTATCAATAGAGAATTGAAATCTGTCAGGGAGAATTGAACTTAAAGTGCGCCAAAATCTGCGGATCCTGGTACGAATGTCCGAATTGTGACTCAGACAATTCAGCTCAGAGCTGGATTTATTGTTAATTTCTTTTAATTAATTATAAAATTACTACTCTCTTATTAAATAAATTATAAATTAAATAAATTAATTTAATTTAATTATTCTTGTTAAAATTAATTTTCTTACAATATTATTTAATTTTTAACATTTAAAAAATATAACAAAGAAACAGAAAATTGGTTTAAAAATCCTTATTTGATATTTTATTTTACCCGTTTTTAAATGCATTTTATGAAGGTGTACATCTTGGGGCCACTTTTTTTCAAATTGAAATTTATAACAATTTGAAAAAATTCTTTAAAAAATGTTTGTTTTCAAATTAAAATTTTTTCTTTATGGCCAAAGGATACCTTATTTATTGTGCTTTCATACGGTATGCACCATTTTTAAATATCCTAAAACGTTTGTATTCTAGAGCACAAAATCAAAACTATGTCCATCTTGGGGCCCTCTCCCCTATATAAATGCAAATTAAAAAATTACTCACCATTCATTGTAGTCTCGGAAGAATTGTAGATCGTCATTTCTTTTCAAAATATTGTTTCTGTAACAAAAAAAATATTAATTAACAAATTAACTCTTTTTTAAATTTTTTAAATGTTAATAAAATAAATTATTCATTCGTTTGGAAGAATTCATCACTCGAACAAAAAATTAAATTATCTAAAACACAGAATGAGCACTGAGCCAGGAATTAATTTTTTTTGTTTGCATTAAAAAAATTTAAATCAAAGCAAATATTTCCTTTACAGATAATTAAAAATTATTCAACAAATACACAATATATATATATATATATATATGTATTGGGAGAAAAAGTTAAAACATGAGTAATGCACTTTTCTGTGCTTAAATTAACATTTAGTAGCCCACTAACATTTTATGACTGCGAAGATATCTTGTAATTGCCGCGTCATAAACCCAAAAATTGTTTGCTTTTGTGGTCAATTAGAAGGCGCAATTTTGCCCTCCCCCTACGTATATAATGGATCTTTTCAAACACTTCGTTCTACCTTTTATATATATATATATAGTATATGTATAATTCGGTGTTACATACTAAACGTTTTCTCCCGCATTCACGCTCATGGTCTTATTATTTCAAAGTGGGTAATGAAATTTTTTTTACACCGCGAGAGGAAGATAATCCTGAATTTTGTAACGCGATGTCGTTTAGATGCGCGCCAGGAGTTTCGTGATTTTAATGAAGGAAAATAAGCAGTAGGTAGGTAGAAAGAAGTCAGAGAGCACTATAACCATTTAACCTTTATCACGATGTTGGTCGTCATAATGCGAGCAGATAAGGGACTTGGTTTTTTTTTGTTCTTTTTAACTTTATTCCATAACCCTATTAACAGGATTGCGTTCCACATTGTATAATGGACATTGCATATGAATTTAGTATATTAGGTTTTTTTCACACACACGGAA